TTTTAAACAAAAGGTTGCCGGTCTTGTAGTAGACTATAAACCTAATGTAATTAAGGCATCTCGTGATGCTCTGAGATATCTTGGGTATGAACGGTAAAATTACCGTTGGCCCACATGAACTAGCAATCTTTGATCTATCGATCAATTTGTTTCCAATCGTCTATAAGGTTTTCCACAAGAATACTGGTGACCAGACTTCAGGACTAACTGGACGTTGCACAATCACAAAAGCAAGCTGGATTCAGAAGTGGATTTTGTACGGAGGATCATCTCCAGGTTGTACAAGAAGTAATATAAATAAGCAACGAATATCAGCTTCTGGGATTCGTCGATTTCTAGATTATTTTCTATTAAGTCTGTTTGAGTACTGTACCGGATTCCTTGAGGAGTCAGAGGATCGGGAAGAGGTAGAGGCATCATCGCTATTATTTGCAAGAATGCAGCTGTTTGTGTGAACCTTGTCGAGAGCACAAGCAAGTTCAAAATGTTGAAGGGCGTCTGACAGGGACACATAATATCACTAAAGTCATTTACAGCAACTCTAGACAAGGTGTTCAAGATAGATTCAAGCCCGATTGAGAAAAATCAGAAACTGAACATAGACAGACAGCGTTTAAGACACCTACGGGTTGCGGACGACATTTTGATCCTTTCAAGGTCACTACAAGAACTACAACGAAGAATCCAAAAGCAGAACGACATAAGACTGAAAATTAACCCCAAGAGGTTTCAGGCCATGTTCAGCAAATACGTGATCGCGCGACATGTTCAAGTCATAGGACTTAGGAGTGACGTCAGCTTATCTCTGCAACGAATGCCCGATTATGTGAAATCACCAGATGAATAGATTGAGCGTTTTTATAAGACTGAAAATGCTCCTTTCATAAAAATGCCCTTGTGACTTAAACGAAATGTTTTCGATCAGTGTCTTTTCCTAGAGTTAAGCTATCGATGCTGAATGCTGGTTCTGAAGTTTGAAAGCTATTCATGAACTGCAGACGATGCAAAGTCGCATGAAAGATGTACATTGGGAATAACTAAAAGTAAAGAAATAAATAAAAATAAACGAATAAGAGCACTGAGTCTGTGTTGTCATTGCCTGAGTGGAAGAGTTAATGTTACGGTGTACTGGGCACGTTGCATGAAGAACCGACCATCCAAGATCAGAGTGATATAAGACTGGGTTTCAGCGCAGAGCAAACGATTCGTAGGAGGACCTCTAGATCAATAGCAGGATGAGCTGAAGAAATCTGCTGAGTGAAGACGAATAAATGTGGCATAAAACAAGTCTTACGGGGGCTTTGATCCATCAGTGGATTGGCGAAGGGTGGTGGTGATGATGAGTAGAGATCATTTCATGCCTTTGATGCAAACCTGTCCAGTGGAAGGACAGTGAATATAAATTTTGTCGGAAAGATTGGAGCTGCTATCGTTATTAATTCCCGGAGAAAGAATGACGAAATCGTTCTTCGTGCTATATGTGCTTAGAACAGATTATGACAACTCACTGAACAGATGGAAGGAGGATTCTGCCTCCTCTAACCAGGTTACATCAATACATTGACGGTGTGTACAGTGTGCTTGGATACTCAGAACTAGAGAAATGCAGCGCAAAGTCTCTGCCAAAGTTGTCTATCTTGTACTTCCGTTGAATAAGCGATAGCTTTTATTGTTTTGTTTTTTGTTAGTGTCGTTTGATTTTCTATTAATGTGATTATTCATGGTTTAGTGACAAAGTTGTTAGCATTTGTTTGTTTTTAGGCTGGGGTCGATCACACCGAAATGCAATAAAGCATTGGTATTTCGACAAGGATCCGAGAGATTTGGCTTTAGCTGTCACGAAATACCGAGAAAGGCAAGGCTGGTCGCATCTTGATGTTTTACGGCTGGCGCATCCTAAGCCAGGCAAAGAGCAGACTGACTACGATGATATATTCTTGTACGTTAAGTCAGATTTCGAAGCAGTATTGAACCGGAAGCGGAAGCGAGACGACGAGTCAAAAGGTGAAAGGGTCGGGAATGCTGAGCAGGCAAAACTCTCCAAAGCCTTGCAGTTGTTGGAGGCGGTCGCGAAACTAAAAAAGATGACAGACGCGGCGGAAGCGGCTAAGCTCATAAGAGAATACCGGCTGGTACGAGAGCACGTTCCAACGCAGCTACTTAAAAACGCAGACATCTGGAGAGCACTACTTCCGGATATGCCCTTAACGGCTCTAATGAGAAACTTGTCAACTATGACTTGCGTTGGCTTGTTGACTGATACAAGCGATGAGACGAACCTAACGATATTAAAGCTAAGAAATTCCCAAGCTCTTCGGAAAGCAAGAATTCACCCGTTTTCAGCTTTGGTAGCTTTCTATGTTTACAAATCAGGTAGAAAATGTTTTACTGTCGCACTGTAAATAGTGACGCTTTTAAATTTCTTTAAAGTTCTTAAAGTCTTATGCTTAACGCGCATTTAAAATTTTGAATTCCATTACTGTTCTTTGCCTAATGTATACAGCCGCTACTGTGAATGAAATTAAGTGCGGTTACAAACAATCGTCGATCACTGCTAAGGGTTAGTAGGTTTTGAGTGTAATTTAGGTTGGTTACACTAACCTAAATTTGGCTGGACAAATTGGATGCGCCGTGGTTCTTGGTTGTACTGTATTCCCGTTTTGACTTTTAGGTGGTGGTTTCAGAGGAAAACT